ATAGCTGAAATGAAGGTACTTGTACATACATTGCTTGCATTTGACGTCCTTTAAATATTAATCATAGTTGGACAATTAACAACTAGGAAACAGTTGTATCTTTACCCTATATGTTCACCAGCAACGCAATTTCTCTAGATAAGAATATCACTTTTGTAAATCTAGCGACACACTTGACAGGGGTATGTCTCACCAAATGATAGTTGAGAACAGTCGACGTCGCCCCAAATACGTCATTTCGGATCCTCCAGATCCACTAACGGTGCTTTTAGGTACCTCAAGCACCGGTCATCGTTCTCGTCGAACCCGGCGCTTGCGACGAAGGGCTCGACGAGTAAGTTAACCCTCAGACACAGCCCACTGAGTTTCTCGCCGGATCTTCTCAGTGGATCGCGTTTCCGATCCGGTGGTAAATTCTGCGAAGCACAGCGCTTGCTAGGGTTCGTGTTAGCAACGTCATCAGGTTTGAGCCCCGTGAGCTCACCTACTAGTCAAGGCGACGCTGATATAGCCTCTCAAGGCTATCAGCTTAGGTAGGGAAACAAAATGGTTGAGAGTCGCCGGATTGTATGGTCTCTTGAGATTTTAAACTTTTAAGAGAGCCTTGTGCATTATGTTGGTCCTTACTATTATAAACATTGAATTTGGCTATTTAAATTTATATCTAATGTATTTAGCCCGTGCTTTATAGGATGGATATCTTTAAGTGAAGATCATTTGAATACTACTATTTATTTCTTTTAGTCTACAAGTATTTATGTTTGATCAGTACTATTCTTATTCAAAAATATGAACAACAAAACAAACAACAGTCGAATGGCTTCATACAAAAAACGCTTTCTCATGCATTTCGCTTTTGTGCTTACTTCCCCCCCTGAAATGTATGGGGTCCGTGCTTTGGTACACTCCTGTGCTCTTTGTCAGACTTTTGTTTATCTATGCATAGACTTTTTCGATATAGCACGACCGAGGTTAATGATCTGTAGAGCATTCGTTGTATTTACTGGTACTATTTGTAGTTTGTAACTTTTTATTACACTCGAATAGCAAATATTCGGTGTTTGTATAACACCATCCTATCCTTCATCGTTGATATCGATAATCATAAGTCGAATTCTATTATTATCTACATATTAATACGTGAAGGAAAAACTTTGTATCCCTTTTTACGAAAATTGCGCGGACGGAGGAGTATGAAAATTTCCACACTTATAGAGAACATAGAGAAGAAGTGTAGAATGCTAATTTTTTTTTTAAATAATGCATAAAAGATACATTAAATCAATAAAAAAAACATTACACACACTACATACCATGTATTTGACGCACACACGCATGCGTTCTATTTATTTATTGGCAAACTTTTGTTCGTGACGTCTGTGGTCAAATTGAGAATAGATTAAATATTGTTTGTCTTTATTAATATTTGTCTATAGTGTAGTTTTGGCGAAATTTGTGATTATAGAAGTATAATAGTCTTTGAAAATAGAATCATAATTGTGTACAAACTTACAATTTCAATTAATTATAGTCGAATTTCGACTACTGCGGGACCACTAGTTTATTGAATTATTTCATCGTTACGCTACGCTGCGTTGTGTTATGATGCAATTCGCAAACAGCGGACTTGGCAACAGAGCTCACGACGACCACAGATCCATATCTAGACACAGTCCGGTGCGTCTGGATCATGAGTGGTAACTTCACGCATCGATCGTTGCTGTTCTAGTGACGGACCTCGGATTATTGACAGGTATGTCGAAGATCGAAAAATTCATAGTTCCCCATCTACTACGGTCTTGTCAAGTGAAAACCAACTCTGTATAAAAGATATAAATCGATATGTGAAACGCGTATTCGAAAGTATTTAAAAAAAATGCAACATATCTTTGAGTTCGAGAATGTGTACTTTTTTATCTAGTTCATAAGTCAAAAGGTAAATTATAAAATAAAAACAAACCGAACTCGATCAGTTAGTCGTTCTTTATCGACAAAACTATTCACATCACTATCATTCGAGCTAGAGTTCGTCGACACGGCAGGCGCTAGTTTTTGCGGCACGTTTCCTGTCAACTAATGAGATGCAGCATCCTCCGTCGTCTTTGTGTGATCTCGACGGATGCCTCGTATAGACGTCCCATTTCTTTACGAAAGTTCATTCTATTGATTACTTTGGAAACTTGTGGGACTTCAAAGACTTTGATAATGATGATGTGAGTTTCGTTCGTTCTATCTAGTTAGGACTTGTTTGTCGGCGAAGGGAGGTGGAAGGTTTTTTTTATTGCCCTTGTAGGCAGACGAGTATACGGCCCACCTGATGGTGAGTGGTTACCGTTGCCCATGGACTTCAGCAATGCCAGGGGCAGAGCCAAGCCGCTGCCTACCGCTTAATACTCTCCACAAGCCTCGTTTGAAGAAGGACATGTCATAGCGCTCGGGAAACACCGTGGAGGGGAGGGAGCTCATTCCATAGCCGGATGGTACATGGCAAAAAATACCTCTGGAAATGCACTCTCGATGAACGCAGCGGTTCCAGATAATATGGATGAACTCTGCTCCGATGGCGGGAGGTGCGATGATAAAAAGGAGATGAGGGGATCATCTCAAACAATTCCTCAGAGCACTCCTCATGGAAGATCTCATAGCCCATAGGAAATATTACTTTAAAGGCTAATAGAGTGCGGACTATAGCAAGTATATTAATACCCACTCTTGTTTTGAGCATAAGCCGATACGCTATCAAAATCAGTGAAAATTCGACTTAATATACATTTCCCGTTACGGTCTTTGGTAAGCGCACAATCAGATAGCGTGAGAGTTACGTTGACAGTCATACGTTTATGTATTCAGTTAAGGTATCATTTCGATGTTGGCGACCGCGACCGACGACTGCGACAGGCGACCGCGACTTACTGCTTAGTATGAATTTATATGGAACCCTAACAAAGCAAGCGACTTGGTGGGGCGCCCTGTGGGCGTGGCTAGCAAGCGACGCTACTGCTACTGGAGCAGTGGCTCCGCGCGACCCGTCCACGTTGCACGTCAAAATGGTGTCATTTTCCACACACACAATATGATGACGAATTATTAATAGACTAGCGACCCGCCCTCGCTTCGCTTCGGAAACATTAAATTTTATTATGAGTCCCGCGATGCTACCCGCGGTTATTGTCGTACCGTGGATGAAGCCGCGGGGCGAAGCTAGCCTTAAAAAAGTAGCCTAAGTTACTCCTTATATCATCAGCTACCTATCAGTGAAAGTCTTGTCAAAATCGGTCCAGCCGTTCCAGAGATTAGACGGAATAAACAGACAGACAGACAGACAAAAATTGTAAAAAATGTTGTATTTTGGTGTATGTACCGCATATGTATTCATATGCATGTAGTAAAAAGCGGTTATTTCAATATTACAAACAGACACTCCAATTTTATTTATATGTATAGATGTAGTGTCTAAAAACCTACCTATATACGATTCGACACTCTGCTCATATCGAGATAATGTTATTCGAGACAATATTTGGGAAGAAATTGGCGAAATTCTTGTTTCCGAAAGCAAGGCAAACAAAATAAGTGTATCATCTTCTTGTTCTAATAAATACTGTATAGCTCTTTTCCTGGTTGCGGATAAATTGTCCGACATAATTATACTGAGCACTAGAACACAGCTGTGTACAATAAAAACTGCAGACAGACTGGCCGTCGGTCGCAGTCGTTGGTATCCGAATTCCATTGATTATCAGGCAATAGGCGATCAGGGTCGCGGTCACTTGTCGCCCTGGTCGCCAACATCGGAATGCTACCATTAGACCGATAAAACTCATCGAAATAGGTACATCTATATATTAATACGTGAAGCAAAAACTTTGTATCCCTTTTTACGAAAATTGCGCGGACGGAGGAGTATGAAATTTTCCACACTTATAGAGAATATAGAGAAGAAGTGCACAATGCTAATATTTTTTTTAAATAATGCATAAAAGATACACTAAATCAACAAAGAAAACATTACACACACTACATACCATGTATTTGACTCACACACGCATGCATACTATTTATTGTCAAACTTTTGTTCTTGACGTCTGTTGTCAAATTGAGAATACATTATATATTGTTTGTCTTTGTTAATATTTTTATAGTGTAGTCTTGGCGAAATTTGTGATTATAGAAGTATAAAATACAATCATAATAATGTACAAACTTACAATTCCAATTAATTATAGTCGAATTTCGACTACTGCGGGACCTCTAGTCTATAGAAGACTATCACTCGACCTAACTATTTCAATGTTAGTATGTCAATGAGTACGTCAACTGGGCTGGTGTGAGTGCGTAAGACACAACACACTCGTATCAGACTTTCGCGATACGCACCCACCGTATTCAATTGGAACATTTACAATTTAAAATTATCTATTATTACCTAAATTAACAGAATGTGAAAGCCTATTTTTAAAAGACATTTCGGTTAATATGCGACATATACCATTGTAAATTAAAGTTCTCTCCTCCATTAAAGACCTCTTGTGAGTCCGCACGGGTAGGTACCACCGACCTGCCTATTTCTGCCGTGAAGCAGCAACGTGTTTCGGTTAGAAAAAGTAGCCGTTGTACTGTAAGACACTTATACCTTAGAACTCATATATCAAGATAGGTTATTATTAGGCGACATTTACGTTGTAGACGTCTATGGGCTCCGGTAACCTCTTAACATCGGGTGGGCCGTGAGATCGTTCACCCACCTAACCAATAAATAAAAAGACATCGACTACCGTGTAAATCTTAATAAACTGTGGCGGCTGCACCGTCACTCTTGAATGCAGATCTTACTTATCAATACAGATTTATACAAATTTCAAAACTAGTGAACGACAATATTGTGATATGAAAATTGGTGCAACTATATATTCAAATTTTTTTCCCTACCTAAGCTGATAGCCTTGAGAGGCTATTTCAGCGTAACCTTAACTAGTAGGTGAGCTCACGGGGCTCAAACCTGAAAACGTTTGATTAATTAGTGCCTTGACCAGATTATGTGTTCCATCCTTGTCAAGGGGAGTGCTAACCGTCTCTCCTTTCAATAGACATTATATTCTGAGAATATCTGACGTCTAAGGAGATTTCTATCAAGACTCGCGAAGCCCGAAGGAAATGGTAACAGCTTGATTAATTGCTTGCTACGCTCGATCGACAATGGTGACGTAATCAGAAATACATAGCTACCGATAGTTGCTAACGCACTGGAACTAGTTATGATGTCATCAATTGAACTTTGTTAAACTAACTTAGTTAAGCGACCTTGTCGGAACTTATTTACTTAGAATCACTACTACAATAATTACTGAGATAAGTAAGCTCGTCGAAATAAATGTTTTCTAAAATATTCTTTGAATTTGCACACTTTAAGTTGACATTCTTTTTGCCCTTGTAGACAGACGAGCATACGGCCCACTTGATGGTGGGTGGTTACCGTCGCCCATGGACGTCAGCAATTCCAGGGACACAGCCAAGCCGCCGCCTACCGTTAAGTACTCTCCACAAGTCTCGTTTGAAGAAGGACATGTTCTAGCCTAGCGCGTTCCAAAGCCGGATGATACGTGGCAAAAAAGGTCTCTTGAAGAGTACTATGGATGAACGCAGTGGTTCTAGTTCTAGCATGAGCTCTATTCCAGTTACAGGCGGTGCGACGGTAAAAACGATATGATGGGACAATCTCAAATAATTCCTTACAGCTCTACCCATGGAACATACGGTACAAAATACAGAGAGAACCGAGGTCCCTCCGCAGAACCAAGGGTCCCAAACGATCCGTGAGAATGGGATTATCGACAATCTGAACGGCCTTTCCCCGCCGTTTTAAGAAAAATAAGATTAACGTTCAGAAAAACTTGTTTATTGTTTATTTGAACTTAATTATTTGACGAACCGTGAGTTTATTTCAAAACGTGACTGTTCTTGATTATTATTACAATTACATCAAAGGCCTTTTTTATATTTATCCCATTTTTAATATCCTAAGCTAAACGGCTGTCACAAACAAAAAGTCTAGAGGCCGAAGCCCATGGCGGTGGACTGACCAGGTTTTTTTTATTGCTTAGACGGGTGGACGAGCTCACAGCCCACCTGGTGTTAATTGGTTACTGGAGCCCATAGACATTTACCACGTAAATGCGCCGCCCGCCTTGAAATATAAGTTCTAAAGTCACAAGTATAGTTACAACGGCTGCCCCACCCTTCAAACCGAATCGCATTCATTACTGCTTCACGGCAGAAATAGGCAGGGTGGTGATACCTACCCGCGCGGACTTACAAAAGGTCCTACCACCGGTATGATTACTCAGCAGCTGGTAATACCAATCAATGAAGCTCTCGATCAGGCCAAGGTGGAAAGAAAGAACAGATTACATGCGAGTCACGATCATTAACAACGAAGGAACGACTGGGAAGAAGAGCCAAACACAGCCAATGCTACCAAGTCGAGCAGACTTAACTGTTCATGATTAACTGTTAATGACAGACAGCCTAGAACTACACGAGTTGGCCTAGAGCAATTAATTGAACATATAATAAAAATTAATAGCCACAATTGCGAAATGGCTTTAAAATTACGAGCAGGCAACGTACATTTCATTGATGCGAGGCACCCGAGAACGTTAGGAAACCGGTTGCGTGCGCCGCGCCGTTTGTGGCCCGGACGTCAATAAGCAGAAAACAACGGACGTATTAATCCTTATTAATGACGGCTCATTTGACTCGTCAAAATCCAAAATGACAATGGTATTAAAGATCGGTTTGGGAATCATGAGGTTAAAACCCTTCGAAATTCGGTGATGAAGCCAATTGAGGCCGTCAGAGCAAAAGTGGCCTAATCCACAATTTTTGATATTCAAGCTCATATTGGAATTTATTTAAAATATAATAAATTTTGATGCAAAATCGGCCTATCCGTAGTCTCACCCATAGGTAACAGATAGTTTTGTAAGCATAATTTTTGCGCGTATTGTGTTTTTGCCTATTCAAATTCATCCATACTAACTATGGTAAGCTTAGGTCACTTTTGTGCAGACGGCCTCAATTCTTATTAGCTTTTATAAGAATGCGGAACGTGCGAAAGATTCCCGTTACGCACCCATTCTTTTTAATACTTATTTCCCAAGATACTACAGATACAGCAGCGCTGGTACGAAATCTCAGATACGTCTTGAGGTGCTCGGCAATTCGTCTACTTGCCTAAACTTATCGACAATGGAAATGGTTATGCACTATAGAGTAACACAGACCTTCGATCTAAGATTAAAAAAGTAAAAACCGGGGCCAATTTGTTCATTTTGATCACGAAACATTCGAAAGGTATCGGGCGTCTTTCAGAATCGATTCTAAAACACACACTCGCCTACAATATCATCGCCGGAATGGGGAAATGTAGATCAATGCCGGCATAATATAAATAAATAAGAAATCTCAACTGCATTGGAATAAGAAATTGCTTTGCAGCCGAAGTGAAAAGTCTATTTTTTTTTTGCTTAGATGGGTGGACGAGCTCACAGCCCACCCGGTGTTAAGTGGTTACTGAAGCCCATAGACATCTACGTAAATGCGCCACCCAGATTGAGATATAAGTTCTAAGGTCTCAAGTATAGTTACAACGGCTGTCCCGCCCTTCAAACCGAAACGCACTACTGCTTCACGGCAGAAATAGGCAGGGTGGTGGTACCCACCCGCGCGGACTCACAAGAGGTCCTACCACCAGTAAATTGTTTTTATCTATTTTGTTCCCTGGTTATTCACTGGAAACTCAGTGGGCTGTGTCTACGGATTAGTTCGACGAGGACGGTGACCGGTGCTAAAAGCACCTTGAGTGGATGCCGGGGGAAAAAAGTGTCTGAGACGTTAGTTTAAAAATAATTAACGTAGCATAATGTATTACTTGAAAATACTATTGCATTATATATTTGCATTTTTAATAATATGAGCAACAAATTAGGTAATATTAAAATAAATTGCTTGTTTACAAACAGTAATGCGGAAAAAAAGGTATTACGTGTCCATTTAATGGTAACATAGAAAATTTTGATATTAAAATAAGCTTTATCCTTTCGGTCACTTTAGATTGCCTTATCCGTTATTTTAACACAAGTTGTTGAACTTTCATCTGTTCTTTGATCGTAGCTCCACAAGCATTACACTCATCGTGAGGCGGTCAATTGTGAAACAAAAGAACATCAGGCCAGCTGTCACGACACCGCTGTAACACAATATAATTACATTTTACATTACATTTTTTACATAATTACATTTTACTGATGGTAGGAGCTCTTGTGAGTCCGCGCGGGTTGGTACCACCGCCCTGCCTATTTCTACCGTGAAGCAGTAATGCGTTTCGGTCTGAAGGGTGGGGCAGCCGTTGTAACTATACTGAGATCTTAGAACTTATATCTCAAGGTGGGTGGCGCATTTACGTTGTAGATGTCTATGGGCTCCAGTAACCACTTAACACCAGGTGGGCTGTGAGCTCGTCCACCCATCAAAGCAATAAAAAAAATAAAAAAAATCTTTTTTTTTTTAAACATTCAATTTCAATAATTGACCCGAACACACCAGAGACACCGGATTCATTTCCTCGCGTACTTTCCCTGTCGCCTATTGAATTACCAATCACGGAAAGTAGGTTTTATTGTGGAGTTCTGCTGAGGTATTCTTTTGTTTCGTACCCATATGTTTAAGGTACGTATTCGCGTGACTCGGTTCTCGTGGTATTCGATTCGGAAACGTTTAAGAACGCGGTTTAGTGGCGAAGATCGAGTGAATCGAATCATTTCTGTTTGATCGAGTGTCCCCGTATTGAGTTTTATCTTTACATATTTCTTTTTTATTAGCTTTAGTTGACAAACAGACTTTCTTGAATACAATTGATTCATGACATGAACAATGTTAGTAAATTGCTTTTTTTTCCTACCTAAGCTATGCCAGTGTCACCGAGCAAGTAGATACTCTCAGACACAGCCCACTGAGTTTCTCGCCGGATCTTCTCAGTGGCTCTTGCCAGGGTTCGTGTTAGCAACGTCATCAGGTTTGAGCCCCGTGAGCTCACCTACTAGTTAGGGTTACGCTGGAATAGCCTCTCAAGGCTACCAGCTAAGGTAGGAAAAAAAAAAGGAAAAAAGTAAGTAGATGAGCTCTTGGGGCTCTAAACTGGGGCCTTCGTTAACACTAGCCCAACTAAGAAGATCCGGCGAGAAACTCAGTGGGCTATGTCTATGGATTAAATTGCTAAAAGACTACACTCTTATTACGCGTTTATATATGAACATGGATAGACATGGACTTGTGATATCGTATATCAGAGGCAAACACGATACCACCGAAGTATTTGGTAATAATAAACATTGATCAATTGGCGAAACTAGATGCGAAGACTCCTCGACCACCTCGACCTTGTCCTCTTGTTCTTTCTGAATACCGTCTCGGCTGGGGGCGGAGACACTTGGGCGACGGACTGGTCGTCAGTCCCATCACTAACATCGATCGTTTCCAATCAATTCCTACTGGTTTTTTTAAGTACTAGGGCTAAAAATCATGATAGTACATCACCTGAAAGTCAATCCTTATTACGCCCACTCGTATATAGTCATATTACCTGAGGGAAAAAAACACGCATTGTATTATTCATATTCACGTTTAAGTATTATCTTTTACAACTAAATATATGCGTATAATTAATGCCTATTATTTTATGTATACTAACAAATCAGTACAATGAGTTTTACGACCGGCCTGACGTCAACCCTCATTGGGAATGCTATTGTTAGCATAAAATTATAGTCAGAAGAAGTTTCTTTTTTTTCTACTTATTCTAATGAACTCGAGGGGACTCTAACCTGTGGCCGTTGCTAACACTAGCCCTGGCAAGAGCAGCCCTTCGCAGGATCTACCACCGGATTGGGCACGCAACCCACTGAGAAGATCCGTCGAGAAACTCAGTGGACTGTGTCTGTGGGTTAGTTTACTCGTCGAACCCGTCGCTTGCGAAGGGTGACCGGTGCTTGAGTTACCTAAAAGCACCGTTACTGGATCGGGAGGATCCGAAA